CAAGTTATTTTGTCAGCATGGCTTGAAGGTGACGTGATTCAATTTTGTGAAAAGCCGGACAAACAGCCTATAAGATCAAAAAAAGTATGTTTTTCAGAAAATTCAAAATGGCAAAAAATATTTCCCTTAATTGGCCTGTATTTATGTATTTACCACTGCTCGGAAAAGCTCCCATACAGGTCCGGCTCCATTCAGACTCCCAGTTTTTAATATCTCCCATCTTCTGTTCTCTTGTGGAATGAGCTGTTGCTTCATTCAGAAACACAGCAAATTCTAAGAGATAATTGGGTTGCAAATGTTGTTTCACGTAGTCTTTATGTAACAGATTTTGAGGAGATCTCTTACTGCATCACTGATCTGTCCGGGTCCAAAGCGCGTCATCTTACACTTGAGCTATGAGGAGTTAAGAATCAGAAAGAAATGGTGTTCGTGTCTAGGCTAGTTTGAGGACGAGCGGTGCATTCGGCTCTGTTCTGTTTTGTTCACTCCAGCTATTTTTGGGCACAGTAACACATCATGTGTGAACGCACACTTTCTCGTCTCCCGCTGCAGTCACAACAGCATCATCCTTATTTCTGGTCCTTCGACACGGATGAACACAGCCGCTAACTTCATATTTCCTTGGCTTGGTCTTGTTTCAGCTGTGGGCTAGTCGAACTAATAAGGATCTGAACTGTTAACAAAAAGGGTTCCTTTTAATTCATCAATTTAAAATAATGCAATTATTTAACTGTTCAGTGCTTCATTTAAAGCACTTTTTTTGGACTTCTGCATCCACACATGCCAAACACAGGTCGAGGGAGAGTGGGGATGGTTGCAACACTTTTTGCATTTCCTTTAGTTTCTCAGAGACTGTTTACATTACAAAGCCAAAACTTTAATACGATAAAACCACATCTATCAGCTACTCACCTACATTGCTGCAACATGTGTACATATGATAATATACGTACAATGTATACTTGAATAGACAAAGTGAAATGTTGCAACTGACCCCACAACAGGGAACGGTTGCAACATTCATTAAAATGTAATCAAAATCATTCTTGAATATCATTTTGCAATTTAATTTAAGTCTTCAATACGTTAAATTGGCTGATAAAACCAAAGAATAGTAAATGGAAAAACATTTTCAAGTAAGTAGATTTTTAACCTAGATTTACTTAAAAGGAGAGATACCTAACTATTGAAAGGGGTTCTGTTTTAATCCAAAAAAAAATACAATTATGTAATGTTATGGCAAGCTTTTAAATCATGAATATCATCACTGGAGCTCATTCCTGATTGAAGAAATAAGCTGCCCCTGCAACCGTCCCCCACTCTCCCCATACTCCTGGTTCATTTTCAGAAATAAATACAATTTGAAAATTAGTCATGTTTCGTATTTGTTTAAGGGAAATGTATATAATTTCAGGACTTGACTTCAATGAACGCCACATTTATGCAGAAATCAACTTTCTGACTTTTTGCTTTTTCACAATTTTGAGTGATGACACAAATGAACTGTACGTTTCAAAAGAACTGATTTGCAGAATAAATGTAATTTATGAATCCTAACTTCAGCTTTGGTGGACATGACCATCAACCTCGGGCTTTCTTCAGATCAACAGGCTGCTCTGCCTAGTCGATTTGGAAAATATGCAGCTTTGTGCATCAAACAGACGGCACACGTGTGAGAGCACTTAAAGACCTGAACGAGTGGCACACTAAATACAGGCTGAATGGAAGACAGGCGTGAGCCATGAGCCGGAGAACATCACTTCAACAAGAGCCTCATGAACCCTGCAATCTGTGAACCGTACAGCGCTTTCAACATGAACCCAGTAAAAGTGATCTGAACATCTCCCACTAAGATCACACAATAAACCAGTACGACTGCACAGATCATAATCTCACATGCAATAAGATGAGGTCATGTGACAATGAGATTTTTTTGTTGCATCATGTGGTGAATAAAAAAAAAAAGTGGGCAGCTATTAAGGCTCTCTTATGAAACACGCACTGATTTGTAAATCTGTCAAATTCGATTCAGTGCAATGACTGCAGTGATGTACTGTTTCACGTTTGAGGTTGATATCCGGATCTTCCTCTCCTGTTCTCCTGCGCTGGCAGCAGGGTTTGTGCAGCTCGAGGCCATTCAGTGCATTTCCCATGAGGCGCTGTTGACACAGCACAAATTCACCTGATGTGGCTTCATCTGTCAGGCAGGACACCAGAGGACCATTAACAGATTTGACTGAAGCAGGAGGACTCCACAATCCACTCCATAAAACGCTTTCTGGCATCCTGGCATGAGATCTACTGAATGACGAGGAACTTCACAGAAGCAAAAGAGCCAAATCCTGAATAGAGACAGACTGAATTTTTTAACACAGCTCAAGTGTATGCTTGTGCTGATTTTATGCATGTAGGTTATGTAGGGTTACCTTATAATGTCAACATGTAACATTGCTCCAAGGCTTACAACTGTTTATGAATTTAGACATTTATGCATTTGACAGATGCTTTTATCCAAAGCAACTTGCATTGCATTTGATGAATGCATTTGATTAGTTCATGCATTCCCTGGGAATCGAACCCAGAACCTTGTTGTTGCTAGCACCACGCTCAACTGTTTATGCTCTGAAGTACCTATGGAGAAAATGAATGGCCAGTGCTCCGGAATCAATGCTGCTGGAATAGTGTGCGGTCAGTATCCAGACAGAGACCGTGACGGAGGAGGATCGGTGGACAGCTGCGCCAAAACACCCTGGCAGGTCAATAATATCATCAACAATCTGTCACCAGGCAAACCCTCTTCAAATTATCTCTTATATAAAGCAAAGCCATCAGTGTCTGAATCCCTTAAATGAAGTTCCCTGCAGCAAAAGGCCAACGGATCTGAAAAGAACGATTTCTCAACATGGTCCATTGCCCAACCTCTTAAGAACCAAATGAACAACAGTACTGACCTAGTTTGCAGTGTTTAGCATATTTAGCCCAAACACACGGGCAGACAAACCCGGACACGACTGGAGTGTGTGTTTCTGTGGGTCTGAGATCCCCATCAGCGACGCCACATTCCTGCAGCTACAGATGCTTATCGACAGAGCAAACACACACACACACACACACACACACTGAGAAACTGCAGCTGACATGTTTTAAGTCAGGCTGAAGCTTTCAAATGCATTCGAAGAGGTGTTAAAGTCATCTGAACGTCTTTACAGGGCTCAACAATAAAAACTCGAAGCCCGAGTCACAGATTACTAACCCAGGCTAAAGAACGAGATAACAGTTACTAGACATACAGATACTAGTCCAACAACCCTTCACTAAATAAACATCGGCAATGTTCACACTGAACACTTCCAGTCACAAACACTGTATGACCCTTCAGATCTGAACAGAAGCATTATGTGAGCCATTGTTATAGTTATCAAACACCAAATATAAACCACAGCCAAAAGCAACCAACCTACTCATGAAAAGCTACTTTGACATTCAGTTTGTAATAAAACAAATTCCGTGTTTCCCAGGCCACTGGGAGCTTGAGAATTTTGCATTTGTGGTTTCAGTTTGTCCATAAAGATTTATTGAATATTTTCATACGTGATGAAATAATGAAGGGCTTCCAAGTAAAAACCTTTGCAGGTTTTACCTACAAGCCCCACACCGATGACTCAAGCTTCACAATCTGTCTGCTCTTTTACAACAGACCTGTTTTGGACCCGTGACTCGATTCAACATCAATAATGAACAAATATCTGTATGACTAACAACCATTAAAGAGGGACTGAAACCTAAACGAAACACTGGCAAGGTCTGCATGGCATAGACTGTAAATACAGCACCGTTGATCAGTCAGCGAGCACCAGGTGACCTTACTGTGCAATATTTCATTGTGTAAAATCTTATTCATCATGGTCAAGCTGTCAACTACACTACCTCAGCACTTGTCACTACCTGCTTAATTGCACATAATGTTTGCATTTATGCACATCTGTTGTCTTATGTTATGTGTCCTCTGTGTACTGTGTTGTATAGCATATTGTGTATATTGTATATTGCATTGTGTATAGTGCATTGTATTGAATACGTACTATGTATATTGTATATCATATTGTATAATGGTAGATCCTTTAGTGTATCATATGTGTGTGCAGATTCGTACATGGTACACCACTATTTGTAAGAATCAAGATTCAAGAAGGCACCTGGAGGTTGCTCCATCAGAGTTTCATTGTACAGTGACAATAAAGTTCTCTTACTCTTGTGACCAATGGCAAGCAAGTCGTTTCCATAACAACAAAACCAACAAGAAAAAAATGGAGAAGATAGATCATACTAGTTTCTGAGCACAAGTACTTTTATGATATGAGCACAAAACTCTATCTAGTCTAAAATATGCCACAAACCGTGCATCATCCAACCGGAGCTCCTGGACTTAATTGTTGTATGCACCATAATGTTTCCTTCCCCGTATAATGTGGCGCACCCACAAACATCATTGTGAACCGACATTCTCCTCCAGGTTAACTTCAAAAGCCAACGCAAGAGCCAACTTTTTACTCATTCTCGACATTTCTGCAGCACACAGCACTAGGCTACTGATGCAGCTGTTGTTATAGCAACAAAAGAAGCCCTCGGCTGCTGTTTGTAACCAAAACACTGCCAGCATTGTGTTTTACTAAAAAAGCGCTCTTGTCAACTTTTTCTTGTCAAAAAAGAGGCCAAGTGTGAACAGGCCCTTAAACTAGTGCTGCACGATTAATCGAATGCGATTGTCATGCGTATCTTGTCAGTAAAGCCGGTTCTGTGATCAGCAGTAAATCTCCATCACCTGCTTTCAGATGGAGCAGCATTTACTACACAGTGCCATGCTTCACTGACACGCGATTGCATTTCGATTTATCGTGCAGCCCTACCGTAAACCGTTTTTTTTTCAGCAGAGAAAGCACCACGATATCACCATCACTTCACATGCACACACTGATCATCGAGAACATGTGGAAACACACCTGAAGTTCACACCAGGCCACCTCCACCCAGGTGTCCGTGTCCAGGCCCTTGTAGACCGTCTTGAAGGAGCCGCGGCCGATCTCGATGTCAAACTTGAGAAAGCGTCCGCCGGGAGAGGTGGCCACGGCCTTCATCTCAGCCTCCTCCTCGTTCTCCTCGCTGGCCGCCTTTACGTGAGTCTTCACGCTGTCCGCTCTGAGCTCCGTTCGCTCCTCGTCTGCGCTGCCGCTCTCCAGCTCTTTCTGGGCCTTCTGGCTCTCCGTGCTCGATCCCACCTGTAAACCGGATCGGACGGCCAGAGTTCGGTCCACAATGGTCCTCAGGTTGATGCTGAGCATCTTCCTCTGCTCCTCGCACTCCGGGTTGCAGTCGTCGGCCTGGGGCTCGTCATTATCAGTGAACCACAGGCTCCTGCGGATGAACCTCTGGCGTTTGGAGGAGGGATAGGAGCTGGGGTCACTGCCGGCGCGCACCAGCGCTGAGCTCTCCAGCTTATTCACGTTCCCCTCGCTGATGGTCTCGTAGATGTTGAGCTGCAGCTCGCACTGAGAGTTGGGCACGGATGAGGCGCAGCAGTCGGGTTTGGGCTCCATGGTTTGAATCAGTCACACGTTTGTGCCGCTCAAGATCAAACCGCAGGGGAGCGGCAGCACTGACGCATTTTCCCAAACATCAACGATAACACGTCCATCTGTGGGAACAACATATTCATCACATTCAAGAATCATATTCAGTTTCAGGTTACACCAGGACTGCTAATAATAAATCTTCATTTCTGTCTGCATGGAATAACCTGCCACATTTGCCAACAGAAAGCACCACATGCACACAGGTGTCATTTTTTAATTTTGACACCAGTGCAAATGTCCTCTAGTTTCAAATAATTAGTCTGGTTGTGGGTTAGATGTTCTTTGGTGAAATTAAAAAAAAAAATGTGTAGGCCTATGTACATGTTTTCTCCACTTTAAACTGTAAACTTGTATGCAAATTTGGTTTTATCATTAAATAAGCACACGTTTGCATATTATATAAACAGAAGGCACATAAAACGACACATCTTTTACGAGTTTCTTAATTTAATGCACAATCAAGCGGTAGGTCATTGTCAAAAATAATGAAATAAAACCTTATAAAACAATTTATGTATGAGCATTGCGCATGTTTTCGCCTCTTTTTGCAAAAGTGCAATAAAACAAAAAACAAACAAACCCGAAATTATCAGGAAAAGCGTTTTTTCAAACGAGGTGCTATGAAATACAAATACTTATAGCATGGGCAAATGTCACGCCTCTAAATGCTAACCAATGCTGATCTAATCGACGTAGGCCTAATAATAACAATTCAATGTTTATAAAGACGCTAGTTTTTATTTAGAATATTTTTAAAGCTGCAAAATATTGCGGCCTCGTCAGAATTGCTAAATGCTTCACAATCCCTCCTTAAAGCCTGCGATATCTACCCAGTAATACGGCTTGCAAACGAATGAACGCTTGAAGCGATGATGATGATGATGATGATGATGAGCGCGAGCTACTGCAGGTGCCACAGCTCTAATATCCTCCGTCATGTGCTACGAACATAAAGCAGCGATGATGGGTAACTCACATGAGAAAGCTCGCTTTGACGGTGGCAGATCTTCAGAGCAGCGGCGGTGTTTAACGCGACAGCGAGCGGCAGAGATGACGCGCTGACCACCGGTAAAACACGCTAAATCACGCGCTGCGCATTTGCAGGAGTGTCGCCTCGAAGCTCAGCCGCATCTCATTCAGCTCGGCATCCCTGGAAATGTCTTCTGAACGCTGCTCCTCCACGCCCAGCGCCGCTGCTCCAATCACAGGATCATTCCCAACATTCCTCTGCCTCCTCCTCACCTCTCACTTCACATCACATCATGAGCAGGACAAACGAAACAAAAGGAGATATTTCGCAGGATTTCCAAGCAGCTCGTTTCCATACAGCAACAGCAAGAAGGGAACAGATCCTTTAAAGTATGCATGCAACCTCATCAAAATCAACAAGAGAGCAATGATATGCAAGTGCTATAACAAGTCTCAGTTAGCTTAATGCAGAATAAAAAGAATAGAGAAGCTAGTATTCGTTTTTTTTTTTAAGAGAAACAAGCAGTTAGTAAATGAATAAAGTGCAAGCCTAAAAGGGGCAGGTTTTTTTATAAAGAATAGAATTAGAATAGAAAGCGCTAGAGTTAGAGGGTCAAATAAAGATGGAAGAGATGTGTTTTTAGTCGTTTCTTGAAGATGGTTAAGGACTCAGCTGCTGGGATTGAGTTGTGCAGGTCATTCCACCAGGAGGGAACATTTAATGTAAAAGTCCGTGAAAGTGATTTTGTGCCTCTTTGGGATGAACAATAAAGCAACGTTCACTTGCAGAACGCAAGCTTCTAGAGGCACATAAGTCTAAACTAATGAATTTAGGTAAAGGGGTGCAGAGCCAGTTGTAGGCGAACAGTAGTGCCTTGAACTTAATGCGAGCAGCTACTGGTAGCCAGTGCAAATTGATAAAGTATTAGCGGAAATTAAATCCATTTTTATTATTATTATTATTATTCAATTAAATTATTAATTGATTATTATTACTGGAACTTGTTTGTCACACAAAGGCCTGGTTTCACAGACAGGGCTTAGACTAATGGTCTTTGCACACTGAGTCTGAAATTCTCGTCCAAAATTTTCGCACATTACAAAATAAATACAATTTCATGCTGTGTCAATCATGTTTACACACTGCCTCTGAAAGTTTCTTCCGTCATAAAAAAATTCGGATCAGGTTCAATTTTCTATGTTTTTATATCCATAGCAAGCATTTTGATAGGAAAGGATGACGAATACGAAAAAACGCATACGAAAATTCCGGACGCAGTGTGCAAGGACCTTAAGCCAGGATTAGGCCATAGATCAATTAGGAGATTGAAGTCATCTTTATAAACATGCCTTAGAAAAAAACATTACTGGTGTGCATCTTGAGATAAAACAAAGGCAGTGACATGTTTTAAGATCAGTCAGTGCAAGTTTCTTTCAGTTGAAACAGCTCAGACTTAGATTTTAGTCTAGGACTAGGCTTAAGCCTTGTCTGTGAAACCGGGGGAAAGCTGTTCGCTTGTTAAGTCGTGACATAAGGAATTCTGGTTCCAAGCCTCTAGTCATTTCCTTTTCTATCAATATTTTAAACATTCATAAAAGATGAATCATTGTCTGACCGTCTGAGATTTGGGTATGGACATAAAGGTCAGGACACTGTGTATAGAAGCCACGAAGTAAAAGATGGTTGCATGCGTGGAATTTATCTCACAATTCTGACTGTTCTTCTCATTCGACAAAGAATTCAGACTGAATCTCTTTTGATTCAGAGTTTACCTATCATAAGTGTTTTTTAACATGAAATAAAGGTAATTGCAAGTTTGTATCTCACAACTCAGACTTTTTTCTATATATATAAAAGTCTGATTTGTGAGATATAAAATCAGAATTGCAAGAAAAAAAATCTGATTTGTGAGATAAATTGTCGCAATTACCTTCTTTTTTTAATCCTGGGGTGGAAACAAGTGTCCATGAGTGTATATTAGCACTGTTTGTTTGCTTTTGGCATCTGATTTCAGTTTGGAGCCGTGATGTCAGACTTAATGAGCAGATTGTATGACCTCAGAAATAGTGTGTGAGTTGTATACTGTTTTTTCCCCGTTTGGCAGCTCCTGTTTATGCTCTCACTCAATGGAAAAGAGCAGCTCTGGCATTTTGCTAAAGTGGTATGGGTTTGGAACTCGATGAGACTGAGTAAATGGAGACAGTACTGTTCTTTTTTCATGAAAGAAGGAAGAGGAATCATCAGAATGTTCAAAACAAGATTTCAGTGTCTCAAAAAGCATTCCAAGGGTTCCTTCATTCAAGATAAGAAAGGAAAAGAAAACAAGATTAGAGTATATTTATATTTATAATGTATTACAGAGTAAAGCCTGAAGGTGTGTTATTGAATTTCCTTCATGTGTAACACAACCCCCAGTTGGACAATAAAAGGTTTGGCTCGGATATTCACAGTGAAATTTGAGTCGTGGCACTTTCTATTTCTCTACATCTACAGTCAAGACTTTTGCCTTTTAAAATAAACAAGACGAATAGAATATATTTGTAGCCAAGCAATATTTGCCCCAAAATTGCTATTTGCATATGCATTTTTATGAATATTTAAGTTAAGATAATTGTAATTATTCTCTTTACTGGGCAAATGTAATACAAGAAGTAAGAATTATAACCAGTATGCAGTGTACAAGAAGTAATAAAGTTCCAGACTGTGAATGCGTGAGTGAGCAACGACGTAAATACTGGATGAGTGTAAACAAGACATGATAGATCATATACCTACCCAAATAACAGAGGACCTCTTCCCATCGGTCCCTGCATCCGCTCAGAAATATTGCTGAGGTCTGAGGTCTTGTAAATCCCGTGTGAGTGAGGACACAGAAGCACAGGAGAACAGCCCAGTGTCAGCGATGGCGGCAGACACTACTGAATTAAACACGGCCGCTGGTCCTGGACTGCAGGTGGGTCACACAGACGCTAAACCTGCTAGCACACAATCCAAGTCTTTCATGGTTTATACAGTAGTATTTCTAGAGCTATTAGCGTAAACCACTGACTGCTTAATTAGACTTATAACTGCTGCTTTATAGGCTCTTCATTTTTCCTTTTTGTGCTGTTGCTCTCCTTAAGTGATAAAATGGGTGAAAAACTCCCATAGACGGGCAGAGCAACTGAGACCAGAAACAGACAGATCAACAAATGACAGAATCAAAAATTTGTAAGAGACCTGTGAGCCAGAATTTCTCTCATGATATTCATTTATTGCGATATGATAATGTCCATCTCAGGCCTCAAAGAGCAGGAATGCAGGAATATCCTATGAAAGTACACAACTGCAACTGTGCTTACATGTGCTCGAGTTTCTATGTAAAAGAGCTTCTCTGAATAAACACGAGGAAGTGAAGTTTGTGTAAGTGAATGAGTGAGTGTGTGTGTGTGTGTGTGTGTGTGTGTGTGTGTGTGTGTGTGTGTGTGTGTGTGTGTGTGTGTGCGTTGCGCTGTAAGGGGTAGGTTTAGTTGTAGGGTTGGTATAGTATAGTATATATTTATTTAATGCCATGTCAGCATCAAAGACTATTTTCATGGCAAAAACAATTTAAAAAATACAAGTATAACAAATACAATAAAAACAAGCAAACAATCAAACACAAGTTATATCACACAATATTTTTTACATAAATATATGATATCAATTATAAAACTTTTCCTGGCAAAATTTTGGGCGATAGAAAATACAGTTTGTACAGAATAAAAACCATTACACCTATGGAGAGTCCCTGTAAACCACAAATGCAAGTATGTGTGTGTGTGTGTGTGTGCGCGCGTGTGTGCGTGTGTAAGCAGTGTAACTAAAAGCTCTGTAGAGAATCAGGGAAATGTAATTTCCTTATGGTGGATCGATGAGCCGCTGGAGCGCAGCCATCCTGAGATCAACAGCATGAGAGAGAGTGAAGAGTGGTGTTTTGTCATTACGATTGCACAGTCAGCAGAGGAATACTGATAGGAAGGATGGAAGAAGAGGGACAGAAGGAAGGAAGGAAGGAAGGATGGAAGGGTATCAGCAAGAGTACTATTTAAAGCAACAGTTAACCCAAAAAATGAAAATTTGCTAAAAATATTGTCTTCCTCAGACAATCCGAGATTAGGATGAGTTTGTTTCTTCATCAGATCTGGAGAAATGCAGCATTGCATCAGTGTCTCACTGCAGGTGAATGGGTGCCGTCAGAATGAGAGTCCAAACAGCTGATAAAAACATCACAATAATCCACAAGTAATCCACAGCACTCCAGTCCATCAGTGAACATCTGGAGAAGACAAAAGCTGAAACAAATCCAGCATTAAGATGATTTTAGCTTCCAGCTAAAATACGAGTCTATATGATTATGAGCACAACTTTATATATATATATATATATATATATATAATTTTAGCTGCAAGCAACAGTTTGAAGTGAAAAATGTCTTCTCCAGATGTTAGCTGATAGACCGGAGTGCTGTGGATTACTTGTGGATTATTGTGATGTTTTTATCAGCTGTTTGAACTCTCATTCACCGACACTTCACATGTATATTGGAGTTTGACTATTAGTCATAAAAATAATACATCAAATATCATTCATTGCACATGCATATTCAGTTATCTGTTATATTTACTGCTCTGTTGTGATGAACAGTGACGCTTTCTCTCAGGAAGGTTCAGGCAAACAATTATAACAAACATATGCGGTAAATCTTTCCTGTGTAGACACATACATGCACATTCATGCATACTTCATTTAGATTTTACAAAACTATATTGCGGTTTTAGTGTGCGGGCATTACGATATTAACTGTGAGATATGCTTTTACTTTAGATAAGGGGAAATCCTTCAGCGGAGCTCAGGGCTCTGAGTGTACTTGTCAAGAAAGAGCAGTAATTGAGTCCTCAGTCAGTAAGACCACGAGTGTGCCAGAGTCAGCACTCTCTCTCTTTCTCTTTATTATTCTTCATGCTACTTCATGACACCAGAAACTCTTCAGTCAGACAGTCAATACAGTTTTAGATAAATCATGCATTCGTGCCAAGAATCCCATACCATTCATTCTGTAAGTTCAGTGTGCTCAATAAGGGCTTTGCAGTTCATTGTAAATCAAGGTAATAGCTCATCCTCTACTGCCAGTACTCATGTGCACTATTAGTTGGGCTGATATTCAAACTCTATTTACATGATAAACAACAGTTCTTGAAGTGAGAATTTTTATTCATCCCAAAACTCAAATGACTCTTTTGAAATCTTTCACCAAAATGATTACATCAGATTTAACAGATTTCAGATCACTCCTGTGGCAGCTTTGAGACACATGAGAATTACAGGGCTTCTTTGGTTTCAAGTCTTTGCATCATGAAACAAATTAATTCATAAAAGTTATTCTTCACCAAAACAAGTATTATTACGTGCGTTAGAGACTCTCTTAAAAGCACTATACATAGCAGATATGCTCATTGAATATAAACCTAACAGACCTCTCAGATCATTAGGATCAGTTAGAAATACCAAGGGTTCACACAAAACAAGGGGAATCCGCTTTTAGCTATTTTGCCGCCATCAGCTGCCAGAAGAGATCAGATGTGCTAAAACATTAGTCACATTTAAATCTAGACTCAAAACTCATCTGTTTAGCTGTGCATTTATTGAATGAGCACTGTGCTGAACTGCCACAAACTGACTGCACTGTATTTTATGTATAATCACTTTTTATTCTTGACTGTTTTAATTAATTTTAAATCAATTTTTAAATCATTTTTAATTAAATTCCTTGTTGTTTTATTGTTGTGATTATTTTTTTATGATTATTTTAATTTCTTTTATGTAAAGCACTTTGAAGTACCATTGTGTATGAAATGTGCTATATAAATAAACTTGCCTTGCCTGTAATTCCCTCACACTATAGTCAGTATAGTCAAATGCAGAGAAAAATATCAGTAAAGCGGGCTCGAGGGAAAGGCTTCAGTGAACGAAAAATAGTCGTGCAGTAGTTGGTATAGGATTAGTTTAAAGGAGACACATTATGCCCCTTTTCACAATATTTAATATAAGTCTCTGGTGTCCCCAGAATGTGTCTGTGAAGTTTCAGCTCAAACTTCCGGTGACGTCACGGAGATGGTTAACGCTTGAAAGTTAAGCTCCGTCGGATTGTTGCAATAAATCCCGATTTACATAATCAATTCAGGTATAGTCAGAGTTCCCTTTCATGGGAACTTCGAACTGCGTCCTCTAGGGGTCGCTATGGAGAACGCATCATCGTGACCCGTGTCTGAAGCATACATTGAAAAAACACCAACTCGTTGGCCGGCGACAGCCATGACGTCACTAACGGTGCGACTACAGTATAAATAGGCGCCGGGAGAACACATCATCCTCTTCTTCGTCTTCATTGACTGTTTTGTTTGAAGCGTGCAGCTGCACTACCGCTGCGGGACCTGGGAATCAAAGTTCGAGTGGATGAACGAGACCGACACGTAAGAGAAATATCGATGGCTAGATGGTCAAGGCAAGGGAAAGGTGGACGTGGAGTGAGCACAGCGTTGTCCGACGCAGATCTTCAAGCATTTTTGCTAAAGGAATGAACCGTTTAAAATATGTAAGCAGTAGCCTACATTTAAACTGGATATTTCTGCTTCAGAATGTGAGTAAACTCTGGTTAAATTACAGAAGAGAGTGGTTCTTTGTAGAGATTCATACGTTTAAAGGGACATAATTCGTATTCATATGTTTTTTTTTCCCCTCTCTTCTTTATTTTCGGGATAATAATTGATTTGTTTGTAAATTGACGGATGCTTGCTGATATTTTGAATTCTGAGTGGAAATCACTCTTGGAGGCGGCCGTGTTTCAAAAACAGAATGGCTGCACGCACCCGGTGCACTTTTGATACCCCAGGGAGTCAGCGTCACAATTTCCTGCGCCTGTTACAACGGGATGGGAACCATGGTTACATAAGTAACCTGAGACGTTTTTCAGACACAAGAATACTTCCAAAAATGAAAATTCGAGAGAAAGAGATGATAAAAAACGATCACCTAGCCCTGCCAGACATGCTAAAGCTAGCCCGTGTGCTCCCGAACTTTCTGAAGTGATGGAAGAGCTGAAATCGTTAAGAAAAGAAAATCAAGAGGGGCATAAACAAACGAAAATATCACTGACAAAATTAGAGACCTCGGTTGAGGACTTAAAATGCCAAATAAACAGTTTGGAGAGCAGAATCGGGGAGACGGAGGAACGGATAAGTTTTGCCTTTGACAGCTGATTTTTTTTTTTTTACTTTATTTTTTTTAATACATTACTGGAACATGTTGGTTACTAACACATACAACATCTACCAATGGACAATTTAATTTGTGTCAGTTATAATGTGAAAGGTCTGAGCAGCCCAATTAAAAGAAAGAAAATATTTAATCAGCTTAGAAAAATGCAATGTTCTATTGCATTGCTTCAAGAGACCCACCTGTCTGATGGGGAACATTTAAAACTGAGAAGGGAATGGGTGGACCAAGTTTATAGTGCCTCATATAACAAGGGGAAGAGGAGAGGTGTTGCAGTCATGTTTGCCAAGTCAGTCTTCTTTAATGTGGAGCAAGTATACAAAGATAAAGAGGGGAGATACATCATGGTAGTTGGAACAATTTCAGGCAAAAAAATTACGATTTTTAATCTTTATGCACCCAACGAAGACTGTCCACAATTTTTCAAGAATGTTTTCTCTCTGTTGGCACAGAAAGGTGAAGGAATGTATTTAATTGGTGGGGACTTTAACTGTGTATTAGATAGTCATGTTGATAAGTTGCCATTGGATAGGGGACCACAGTCAAAAAAAGTAAAAGCTCTTTTAGGAATAATTAGAGAATTAGGTTTAACAGATGTTTGGCGACACTTGCATCCTAAAGCACAGGTGCGAGATGCAGTGAAACAGCTCAAGATGAAGAACGGGCGAGCACAGTGCGTCTATCCAGCACAGATAAAGATCTACCTGGAGATGGGAGTAAAAACTTTCCCTACCCTGATGGATGCTGCACTACCGCTGCGGGACCTGGGAATCAAAGTTCGAGTGGATGAACGAGACCGACATGTAAGAGAAATATTGAAGGCTAGATGGTCAAGGCAAGGTAAAGGTGGACGTGGAGTGAGCACAGCGTTGTCCGACGCAGATCTTCAAGCATTTTTGCAAAAGGAATGAACCGTTTAAAATATGTAAGCAGTAGCCTACATTTAAACTGGATAATTCTGCTTCAGAATGTGAGTAAACTCTGGTTAAATTACAGAAGAGAGTGGTTCTTTGTAGAGATTCATACGTTTAAAGGGACATAATTCGTATTCATATGTTTTTTTTTCCCCTCTCTTCTTTATTTTCGGGATAATAATTGATTTGTTTGTAAATTGACGGATGCTTGCTGATATTTTGAATTCTGAGTGGAAATCACTCTTGGAGGCGGCCGTGTTTCAAAAACAGAATGGCTGCACGCACCCGGTGCACTTTTGATACCCCAGGGAGTCAGCGTCACAATTCCCTGCCCCTGTTACATCGGGATTTGGCCTGCGAGACAAGAACTTGGCCGAATGGATGTGTGGAAGTCTTGTTCATGTATATAGTTCATGTTTTTGTTTTCGTTTATGTTAAATATTTGCCTTTGACAGCTGATTTTTTATTTATTTTTATTTTTACTTTATTATTTTTAATACATTACTGGAACATGTTGGTTACTAACACATACAACATCTACCAATGGACAATTTAATTTGTGTCAGTTATAATGTGAAAGGTCTGAGCAGCCCAATTAAAAGAAAGAAAATATTTAATCAGCTTAGAAAAATGCAATGTTCTATTGCATTGCTTCAAGAGACCCACCTGTCTGATGGGGAACATTTAAAACTGAGAAGGGAATGGGTGGACCAAGTTTATAGTGCCTCATATAACAAGGGGAAGAGGAGAGGTGTTGCAGTCATTCTGTGCTTGTCTGTGCAGCCAAAGACAAAACAGTTAACATGCTTTGCTCAAACTTTCGTCATGGCATTAGAACTGGTACACCATTGTTGCTTGTGAAATCAAAATGACGGTGGTGTGGGTGTAACTTTACAGATTAAGGGGCGGTAATATTATAATGAGATCTCTTTGCAACGTCACTAGGGGAGCGAAATCAGACTTGCTAATTTTTTCAAAGGCTTGCAAAAACAAAGTTACTGTGTTAATCTTTTTCACGTTTCCTTGGTTGGTAGATGCACCGGGGACCTGATTATAGCACTTAAAACCTGGAGAAGTCAGATTTTCATGATATGTTACCTTTAATATTGGCTTTAGCATGATAACGGTCATCTCTCTCCATGTTTCTCTCGTAGCTTTCTCAAAGTCTCGGCCTGTCACATGCTCCTCTAAACATGAATCACTATGCTAATAAGAAGAGTGCGGCGGAGAGCATGCTGGATGTGGCTCTGCTAATGGCTAACGCCTCGCAGCTGAAGGCCGTGCTGGGGCAGGGGCCCCAAAACACCCTGTACACGTCCCTGATCACGCTCATCAGCCTGTCGCTCTGTCTGCAAGTGTTAGTGGGCATCCTGCTCATCTTCACAGGTGAATGAGAGCACACACAGACACCTGCCTTACAGCAGGGCTCAAGGTGCATTTGACTTTAATGCTACAAAGACCTTTTATATGATCAAGGCTAATTTAAGATCTCTCATGTCATGACCCCTTTAATGTTTGCCTTTAGCCCTGTTGTACCCTGCTTATATTTTCTGAAATATACTTATTAACTCCTCAGACAGGTGACATACGTAGGTGTAACATCTAATCTAGAACTGACAGTAATTCAGTCATGACAACTTTAAGCATGTTAATGTATATGACAGTGTTTATGCATTTGGTCTTGGTGAACTAGATGTGTTGCACGCTCTGTTGCTGTTATTAATGCAGCTGCACAATTTGACATGCATCATGTCCACTGTGACAGATGTAGACAGGTGGTGCTGGGGGAGGAGGGGGGTGTCAGAGGAACAGTGATATCTGGTTTTAATATGGAGTTTGCAAGCACATTGGTTGTAGATATATGAGTGGCCATGGCTTGCACCATGTAGAATACAATGTGATTACTAGCAGATTACATGTCAAGGATCTATCGGCTTGTGTCAAATAGAGTTTCTTGACTGAACTTCATGGTCATTGTCTTATTTTTGTTTTTACTTGTTTAACCATTGCTATCAGCCATTGCTCAGTGGAATATTAACAGAAGAAATATTGGCATCACGACGATAAACTGTCATTAGTGTGGTTTGCAATCTCCTGAAAAAGTCCAAAACCAATCATAACATTACTTACCAAACACTCGGAGGGCTTTTTATTTGTAGTGGAAGATTTAACCTCATCAACCTCAAGAAAACATTATGTCAATTCTGTAACACTTATCAACATCAGTCTCAATAGAGAATTTCTGGAGGACATGGTGTAGCCTTCAGATTTGCTGATAGAGTGGATTGAACCCTAGCCAGGACCAGCTTAGTCTTTGGAGTAAACAGAGGCTTGTGTACCCAGAGGATCTAAGAGTACTTGGAAAGCAACGATTACAGGACCTGATAGAGCACAGGAGCTACAGTGTTATTCCCACCCACTGCCATCAAAGCACTCTGCTGATGTCACACCGCTTATACAAACACAACTATTACCATCTTGCACCTCAGTTATCGACCGTATTTACTGTGAAATGAAACTGAAGGGCCTCAGTATTAGTAGTATACTGTAACATTGTTGCAATGTTCATCTTGTTGCCAGGACGATTGTTTTGTGCACTGTAATGGATTATAACATAATAAATAGGTGAGATTTTAAAAGTTTCAACCCAAATCTATATTTTATGTCCACATAATTATTTATTGAAATGCTTAGTAATAAGTGGTACGTTTATGCATTCTTAAAGCATCTCTTAAAATGTTAGTCTTGTTTGAATTAGTTTGTTTTGTCTAGGTTCAAAACTGTTTGCTATTAACCCTTCAGGGTAATCCGAGACCCATCTGACCCTGATCACCCTCTCAGGGTTTATTCTGGTATAACACCTGGCTGGATGTACATTATCATTTAGTTTATAGATTAGCGCTCATTTGCAGTCCCATCATCATGAAGCGATTTAGTGGCCTGTCATGACTCACACTGGTGCTGTCATCTGACAGAGACGAAGCACTGAAGAACACAAGTGCTCTGTAGTCTGAGACATCTATTGTGATATATCTTAGTCATAGAAGTTAAAAAATCTGTTTCAGTTCATAAAAATGAATATTTGCAAGTCAAGTCTCTCTGCTCTCACTGATCCGAGATCAACAGTTAAGTCTTGACATTTATTTATATAGTGCTTTAAACAATACAGGTTGTTTCAAAGCAGCTTTATATTAAGTCATGGACTGATCATCTCTATAGTTCGTCGAAAATCTAGAAAACAGAGGCCCCCTTCTGTGGAGAGCAAACTTCATTATCTGAGAAGACAATGAGAGATGGAGTGTTAATTAGACACTGCTCATCTGGAATCTGGAATATTTACAGATTAAAATTTTTTTTTTTTATCAATTATGAAACAAATTCAATTTCAGATGTAAAGCAGCTCTGCAGATGACAGTAGTGTCATTATTCAGTTCAAAGCAGTTCTGGTGACAGTCACAGCAAAAACACTCATAGAATGATGTTGTTGTGTATTTCTGTCTTAAATTCTGTTATAAACCTTACAGAGAGCAAGGAAGTTTTTGTTGTTGTTAGAATTAGAGTTTAAAGCATCATCAGTGCTGCATACTCCAATGACCAGCTATGAAAGACAACCAAACCATTTTAATCTTATTTTCAAATAAGATGACTAACATCTCAGTCTCTGCACAGTGATTCTCATGTGGCGCTGCTTCTCTGAATTCTTGAGTGAATTCACAGAATCCCTGCAGGCACTGCTTCATTCAGTAAATTGAAACCGTAAGCACACGTCTGCGTCAGGAACACTCTGTGAAACTCAATGTGAATTTGGGATTAGAGGAGCAGCACATGACAATGGCATCACAATACACCCCACTCGCTCTCTCTCTTTCTTTTTGACCTACATATCAGCAGAACCTTTCTCTGTCTGTCTTTCCCTTTCTGTCGCTTTTTCCCATTCCCACTGACCCTCCAGAGCCTCTGTTCTGCACCCGCTGACCTCACCATCGCTCTCTGAACCAGCCGAGCGTGATCTGAACGCCTTTCAGGTTCCTTTCAGCAGAAAGACATGCAGTCTTTCCATCACACAGACACACATACATGCACACACACGCACACACAGGCCACACACACACTCTCTCACACACACACAAACACTCTCACACACACACACACACACACACACGCACACACACACACACACACACGCACACACACACACACACACACGCACACACACACACACACACACGCACACACACACACACACACACGCACACACACACACACACACACGCACACACACACACACACACACGCACACACACACACACACACACGCACACACACACACACACACACGCACACACACACACACACACACGCACACACACACACACACACACGCACACACACACACACACACACGCACACACACACACACACACACGCACACACACACACACACACACGCACACACACACACACACACACGCACACACACACACACACACACGCACACACACACACACACACACGCACACACACACACACACACACGCACACACACACACACACACACGCACACACACACACACACACACGCACACACACACACACACACACGCACACACACACACACACACACGCACACACACACACACACACACGCACACACACACACACACACACGCACACACACACACACACACACGCACACACACACACACACACACACTCTCTCTCTCTCTCTCTCTTTCTCTCACACACACACACACACACACACACTATACCTTTTGCCCTACAGCATTCTCATACTTGTCATGACTAAACGCTGTGTCAAGCTATACCATTGTTTAAGTGTCAAAATTCAGCATTTACAGCATTTACAGCATTTTTCAATTGCTAACAAGCATTGTTCAATACTGAAGCCACATTTTCAAAATGGTTCACACATTCAGCGATACAGAAGTCTATATAGACCAAACTGTGAATCATTTTTCATTGCTTTCAGACAAAATGCATGCAATGACCACATTTTTCAAAACCCACAAACACGTTTGTCATTCATACTCCACTAATGGCAAAACACTGTACATTTTCAGCACATTTTTCAAACGTTAACGCACTGCTTTCAAAACTGATAAAAGCACATTCATATCAGAACGATAGCTCTGTCCATTTCTGCACTAATTATATTGAAATATAAAATCTTAGCAGAATATTTATTATGAAATTGAATAATAATTATTCCAAACACAACTAAGTGCAATTTCAGCTGAAAGGCAAGCCAGATGTCCTATTTTTAGTATTTCTTTTTAGTACTTCTTCATCTTTCTTTCTTTCTTTCTTTTTGCTTATCTTTTGATAAATGGATGGCTTGGGAATGATTTTGTTTGGAAACATGGATCAGGGAAGACACATTAGTTAGTCCTCTTCGCCTCTAGCGAGACATAGGGCATCAAAGCCTGATTGTTGAGTTTCCGTAACCATTTTTATCTGGTAGGTGGGGGTTGGCCGTTGTACCTTCACTGTGGCCCCGTTAGCTACTCATGTTCAGGGTTCCTGACAGGCCTTCTCGGCTACCGTGTCGGTCCGGGGCTCTCGAAGTCCCCACCGTACATCGCCCTGACAGGCAATCCCCTACTTGAGCGTTTCCAGAGTGTCACCGCGCGGAGGTGGGGTCGGACTTCTGACACTCAGAAGACACATTAGTGGGGGAAAAAAGAGTGGCAGAGAGGGAGGACTAGAGCCCTCACAGTACTGAACATCCATCCATCTATTCCATACATTTTCCCTAGCGCTTGTCCTATGTAGGGTCATGAGGCTGGAGCCTTTCCTGGGTCATAGTCAGGACAAGCCCCTGGACAGATGGCCAGTCTATCACACACACTCATATTCACACTCACTACAGTCTCCAGTTCACCTGTCCTGTATGTCTCTGGATTGTGGGAGAAACCCAGAGGAAACCAACATCAGCACAACACACTCTACTCAATACTTATGTGACAAATCATTCAAACTTCAAAGATAAAAGTTCATCATTTATGCAATGCTTAGTTTTTGTTTTTAGATCAGTCTGTTATGGATGAAATGTATGTTTTCTGAATGAGAATTGTTGGTAGTGAAACAAGCTTATTGTGAGACATGTATGAAGTGTTTTGTTGGTCTGAGTGAGTTTTGGAGGTGAGATCCACTGTTTGGCCAAGATACATGTTGGTAATGCAGACTGTATGAACAGTCTTGAAAATGTGGCTTCAGTATTGAACAATGCTTGTTAGCGATTGGACAAAAAAACCCAGTAATTGACGTCCCTTCATTAATGAGTTTGAATCTGAACTGGCCACACACACAGGATGTCGAGCTTGAATGTCAAAGAGGAATTAAATACAATCACACTGCATTCGTTTGGCAAAAAAACAAATCATTATCATCATGTTCTCAATCATTTTGACTAATTATGTCTATTTATTCTCTAACAATAGTGTTACAAGTAAAGATTTTGTGTGTAAGCAGCTGACATAAACTGTAATAAAGTGTATTTATGTTTTGTGAGTGTCTGTCAGGCCATGCTGAGGATGCAGTATCAGAACACTGCTGATGCGAGTCACACTGGATTGTTCTGTGGGTTCTGAACTGTTTATTGTTGCTGATTGCAGTGAAGTGGAACCTGAATGACGAGCAGAAACATCTCAGGCTGAACATCTTAGAGAACATCACCACAGGCTGCATCTTCATCATAGTTGTCATCAATGTCTTCATCACTGCGTTTGGAGTTCAGCGGCCCAATGCAGGCGTGTGACACCAGCTCTCTCTCACACACATCGCTTTAGAAGACATTAAAGTTTAATAAGCTGTGTGAGCTAGTAGCAGGGCATTATGGGTAAGTTCTGTGGGCTGTCAGACAATTAAACAGCAGGCTCAGAGCTGTCACATATAAATTTGTGTTTGAAATCAGGTATGTATAAAAAACATTTGTCTGCATAGCACACCCCATTTCAGCCATGTATAATATTTGATAATGTTGTATTTAAGGCAGCTATTGAAGTAGCTTTTAATGAAAACAACAACAACAGAAAAAAACCCTGAAAATAAAACATTTCTGACAACTCTAAAAGTTGGAAATGATTTCCTCACAACAAATCATAACAGTGAATGATCTATCATTGAAAACAGGCTGGTCATTACGTATTTAATTTTGTGATATGATATCTTGTGTAATATTTACTTGCCTTTTACTAGCTTTTGTTTTTGATGTTAATTTGATTGTTCTGTAACCAACAGCTATGATTATTTAGCTTGACAGTAATTATCAAAATTGTAAGTGAAGTATTTTACATAGCCGACATTAATAACATGCAATTTTATATGGAATGAAATATGCCTACATTTAGGTAAACAGAGTCAAAGATGTAAATATTGCTCCTTAAATAAAGAGTAAATGAAAATGTACATTTATGACGCTGCTTTTCATGATTAGAATACCCCCCCAACCCCTTTTTCAAAAAAATCTATAAAAAAAAATCTAAAATGTATATATTTTTCAAGTGTCAGTGAAAGGAGTTGCTTTTTGTAAATGTTGGAGGTCCTGAGAGTGTGTAACTACTGTAAGAGAGGATGTGCTATACACTGAGTGTACAGTAGTCACGGGCGAAGTGTGTTATGTCAGTATTAGAAATATATTTGTAGTGCAGTTTCAGTCATACAATAGATTAGTACACAAACAAGTAGAGAAAGAAAGAAGATCGATTAAAAGAGGAGTTCTTATAGAAAGAAATTTTCTATTGATCCTGGAATTATATAAATTCTGTCTCTCTTTTCCAGAGTGCCTTGTTGTGTTTCATTTCTCAAAGTGAATGGATGAAAACAGAGAGCCGTGAAGGCAGGAACTTTCTGATAACAGTCTTTCAGATGAACTGGGCCCAAGAGCTCAAGAGTCAATAGCTATTTCATTTTCATTGCCCTCATGTCTATCAATGCCACATTCAATTATTGTGTGCATCCAATCTGCATCTCTAGGTCTAGAGATACGCTTTTTTTGAGCCTGAGCATCACATTTTTAGGATGTTGTGTCATGCATTGTGTTCTGCTCTCTTTGTTCTGTAGTACAAAGTGTCACATGCACACTTCACCTTCAGAGCTCTTGCTGTTTAGTAATAAATGTGACTCTCCGTGGCCCTTAAATGTTTCAGTCAAAAGGCCACAATTGTCCATTCCTGTAAATTTGTACACACACACACACACACACACTGACAAAAGCGTCTTCTGTAGCACAGCTCCAGTCCTTGCTCAGAAAGCTGATGCTGACCTCTGGTGGCATGATGTGCATTTACATACGCAGTCTCAATCAACTGTGTACAAGTGGATTCTACAATACATACATTTAGATTCCCAGTAATGTCTGCTTCTCAGAGCCTGAGCCTCAAGTGACGTCAGACCAGGTGTGAGAGCCGGCTACAGCTCTCACCACGAGGGAGAAGGCCGTGGACAGCGAGAGCGCGGAGAGAAGCTCTGTCCACTGCACCATGGCTGAGGGTGAGCTTAAACTGGATCTGGGACTACTGGATGTTGAACGGGACTTGATGGATATATATATATACCGACCTGCCCGCTCTCCTCCCGCCTTCTTCTGAACTCCCTGTCAGTCCTGTTTCGGCCATGGAGGCCGTTTATGAACTTTCTGTCTGCCCTGAACTGTCTGCCAGCCCTGTCGTTCCCCTGTCAGACACGCTCCCGGTGCTGGGAGTCGCGATTTGGTGTGTGTGGGCAGAGCACACCAGCCCTGAAAGCCCGGAGGCTCACAAATGCCCACCCACCCTCCCGCTCCTGCCTCTTCCACCGCTGTCGTCTGGCAGTCCCTCTGCTCGCCCTCAGCCTACCATCAATATGGTGTGAGCGCCGCGGGTCTGCCATCCTCCCTCGTCGCCGTGGCTGGAGCATCCCTTCCGCGATTTGGTGTGTGTGGGCAGAGCACACCAGCCCTGAAAGCCCGGAGGCTCACAAATGCCCACCCACCCTCCCGCTCCTGCCTCTTCCACCGCTGTCGTCTGGCAGCCCCTCAGCTCACCCTCAGCCCACCATCTGTGCGGTGGGATCTCCGCGGGTCTGCCAGTCTCCATCGGCACTTTGGCTGGAGGATCCCTTGTCTCCGCATCTAGCCTCTGAGTCCCGGACTCCACCTCGGCCCGTCGACCCAGCGGCTCCACCATGTCTCCTAGCTCCCTCCTCTCCGCCGTGGCCCATCAGTCCACCAGCTCCGCCGGGCTCCCTCGTCCCTCTGGCTCTGTCAGGCTCCTCCTTCCTTCCGGCTCCTCCGCGGTCCTCTGTCACACCGGCTCCACCGCGGCCTTCCGGATCCCCGCCTCCGCCTCGGTTGCCTGAGCCATCTGCTCCACCTTGGCCCTCCGGATCCTCCTCGTCGCCCTGGCTCATCAGCTCTCCGTCTCTGCCTCGGGCTCCACCTCCACCTGCTCCGCCGCCGTTGGTCGGCCCCCCGTAGTCGTCAGCGCTTCCTCCACCATGGCTCCTCCCTCCATCGGCTCCACCGTGGGTCTCCTTCACGGCTGTGGCCTGGGTCCCTCCTGGCTCCACCTGCTCCAAGTCCCTCCTGTCTCCTCCCTGGCTCCTCCCTCTGTCTGACCCGCCTTGGCTCCTTCTGTCTCCGTCCTGGCTCCTCCCTCCGTCAGTTCCACCCTGGACTCTGTTTGCCATCCTCATCCCGGGTGTCCGTCCTCCACCCGAACTTCCTCCTGAGCTCCCCTCCATCCCTCCTTTGTTGTTCCTGCGGCACGAGGACACGCCGTCCGGGAACTGTCACGCCATGCTTCCGTTTATAAGGTGTAGTCTGTCCTTTGTTCCTGGTCCGGTATTTTATGTGTTGTGCTATGTGCAGGGGCGAAAATTTTGTCTAACAGTTGGGGGGGGAAATAAACATAAAATTTCTCAAAAGCAATTTTTCAAGGGGACACAAATAAAACAGCAAAAATTGTACTTTTAAGGATATGTATACACAGAGGAATTGCTTACTACTATTAATGCAGGAGGGAGACTGTGCCAAATTAGACAACTTCAAGCTGTTGTGGTCGTGCCGAGACAGCGCTCATGTCCGTTGTAGACATTACTATCCGTCACAGTGTTGCCAAGTCCGCAGTTTTCCCGTGGAATTGGGCTACTTTATCACTGTTGCTGCGGGTTGAAGCGACCCTCCTAATGTGTATTTTAGGCCCCGGAACGCGATTTTTACAGGGGGACCCCTCGAAATGCAGATAGTTTGGACTAGTTTTGAGTAGCAATTGGGAGGGTTTTGTTATTGAAACCTGGCAACCCTTTCCCTCAAGCAGTTAACGTTATTATTGCTAACATAGCGGACTCATCAAAAAATACATTGGCATCATCTGTATTAAAGAGCAAATAATCACTTCATCCGATGTTTAAGTGAATAAAATAGCCTAGACAGCCTACTTACTGGAGTTCCACAACTATTGGCTTTGTTCTCTGTCACCGGACTGTGTGTGTGTGTGTGTGTGTGTGTGTGTGTGTGGGTGTAGGTGATGTAAAAGAGGAAAGCAGGCATTTGGACCAAAGCACTGTGAGGCAAGGGAGGGGGAGACTCAAAATGTTTCTTAACTTAAAACCCATTTTTGCCCCGTTTGTGTTGTTTTACTACTTACACAATTATTTACAGTATAAAACATTGTTATTTACAATACACAGCATGATTTTTAATCATATTTTCAGGGGGGACAACCCTCAGATAGGGTTGTAACCCCCCCCAGACACTACCTTTAAAGGGACACCTTTGTACTTTTTTTTTTTTACTAGTACAGGACAGTGTAGAAGTGACAGGAGCTAAGTGGGAGAGATAGGGAGGCAGGATCGGGAAAGATCCTCGAGTCGGGATTCGAACTTGGGACGGCTGTAGCGCAACGGCACTGCCCCAACACCTGTACCTTTTCTGCCCCTAAAAGAAACAGATACTTCAGGACCTGTTTACAGTCACTTCATGCGTTTGCTCTGATAGCTATTCGTTTGTGAAAAGACCAGGTGTAAATGTCCTCCAAAATATAAATTCCATCGCTCAGACTGCTTCAGATCTGAGCCAAAACTAGAATGTGAAATCATGACAGTACCCTACTATCAAACTTTTAAGGGTAGATAAAGCATACAGATGTCCCTTTAATGGTTCTGCCCCAGCCATTGTACCCCTAAAGGTACAATTTTGGCATATTTGCCTTAGTGACTGAGTGAAAAGTGAATGCATGAGCTTTTACCTGTCATCATACTGTCGACGAACAGCATGCAGCTTCAGAACAGTAACTGACTGGTGGTTATAACGATCACATTCCTGATTCGAAGCGAATTGGAACAGAATTGAGTAAAGTCATTGAGTTGCACGTATTTCATTTGTCTAAGTTTTCTGTCACTTTTGCCTCTTCAGATGCAGACAAAACGTACACAATACGTGCATGTTTTATAAGTAACCGCGGCGTGGCGCTGCTGGCCAATGAATGTGTGGAACAAATGGCATTCGCTTATGGTTTTATTATAGGCTACTCTAATTAAGTGTTTCTTAACTCTGGCCCTCAAGGTTGCTGCAGAGTTTAGCTCCAACTAAACTCACCTGCCTGTGACTTTGTAGTAATCTTGAAGAGCTTGTTCAGGTTTGTGTGATTAGGGTTGCAGGACAGTGCACCTCAGAACCCCAGCTCTAATTCATAAAACTAATGATCAAAAAGTGCACAGTATTATAATCTGCACAACATTTGAAAGGAATTCAGTGTGCCACTTTAGAGTGGTAGTCAGTTTTTATTCACACATTATATCCAACACTAGCTGAAATCTCCACATTTTAAAGCTTGCTTTGGTTTTTAGTTTGCGTACAAAAAAAAATCAATCTACACATTTGAGACGTTGTTTCCATGAGGATATAATGATTATTTCAAGTGTGCATCAATAAAGCATATTTACAGAATTTCCTTATACTGAGTAAATGAGAGAATTCTGTGTTGGTTGATTATTTGGAATATTTTAAACATTTTTTTTATATTAACAGATAAGTGAAAATAATTGTGCTGCTGTTTCATGAAGTCTGGCTTATGGACAGTGTCAAGCATCAGCATCAGGGTCCTTCAAGACATCGGTCTGTCTGGTGTGCCTTTGGATTATTTTCCTGCAAACTCTACATTCTTAATGTCAAGGGAATGAGGCATACTGTATGCAAACATCCAGTAATGTTGCAGGTCAAGTAGTCATATTATAACAATTTACTATACAGCTATTTAAAACATTTATTGTTGCCTGTTGTGTACTGTACTCCATACTCAAAACTAAATACTGATGTTTGGCCAGTATCAAGTGCAATAGCATGTTAAGTGCAAAGAAAATTCAATACACACATAACAACAAAATAACAGTTCTCAGTTGAGGTCTTGTCTCATGACCAGTCCCAGTTTGCATCATTATTACACAAAATCCTCCACGGTCATCAGCACATCCTCATATAGACATCATCTGGACAGGCGGTGGATGTGGGCTGTACGGGTGCGGTCCGTTCCAGAGCGGGTCATGAAGCGGCCTGCAGAAGTGCCTGTCCTCTGCAGCGTCACGGGGGACAGGGAACGCACCGCGGGCATCGACGGGGCCCATGTGTGTGTTTATGAGGTAGTCAGTGGGTGGACTGAGTATCAGAGAGAACTGGGACGGATGGATGCTCGGAGGACAGGGCTTCCCTTGATGAAGACCCCTGTGAAAAACACATCTCATCATAATGAGTGCAGGCCAGCGTGATGCTCCTCAACTTCACATGCATAAATGTGATCAATGCATGGAAAGTACAAAGGGAAAGTTTGTCAGGACAAACTTTGACGCTGGCTGGACAAATGTTGCACAAACGTTAAAAAAGTTTCAGACAGTTAAATCTCAGGTCAGGGATTTAATACAATAACTGTATTTTAAAGGAACAGTTCACCCAAAAAAGAAACTTTGCTGAAAATGTGCTCATCCTTGGGTCAGAGTTTGTTTCTTCATCAGACTTGGAGAAATGTCATTGCATCACTTGCTCACCAATGAATGGGTGCCGTCAGAATGAGAGTCCAAACAGCTGATAAAAACATCACAATTATCCACCACACACACCGTCACTTTTACTTTCATTATGGATTATGGACTGGTATTTTAGTTAAAAGTGTCTTAATGCTGGATTTGTTTCAGCTTTTGTCTTCTCCAGATGTTAACTGATGGACTGGAGTGCTGTGGATTACTTGTGGATTATTGTGATGTTTTTATCAGCTGTTTGGACTCTCATTCTGACGGCACCCATTCACTGCAGAGCATCCATTGCGGAGCAAGTATTGGTTTGGCATGTAGTGCTAAATTTCTCTACATCTGTTCTCATGACGAAACAAAATCATCTACATTTTGCATGGCCTGAGAGTGAGTGCATTTTCATTTTTGTGTGAACTCTTTCTTGCTTTATCCTTGTGATGGCAGCATATTGAGTGTTTCTGCAGATGTGTCTTGGTCTATTTTGAAGCGTGTTTGGACAGTACCTGCAGGCAGTGTGGAGGTCTCCGTGGCTGTAGATGTGCTTGTCTGTGTGCCGTCTCTCTCCTCTGCTGCTGCTGCTGCTGTTGTTGTTGTTGTGGTTTGTGGTTTTCTGGTTGTGTAACACCTCTCTCTGCATCTCCACATCCTCAACGTCTATTTGTTGCCAAAACTCTGACGCTCCAGCTTTTCTTGCCCTACACATCACACAAGACACACTCATTACAGTCATCCGCGTCAGTAGTGGCTTTAACTGACTTCCTTCACATCTGCCTTTCTCTCCTCATGAGACGACTGATGTGAGCTCATTCTGAATCATGTCCACTTGGGTTTGCTGACAACATTTGAACGCGGGGTTTTGGAGAGAGTGTATAGCATCTATAGTACACTGCTGAAATATGGGCCTGCTTCTCACACAAGCCTATTGTACAAGTGTATAAAGTATACTTTAGCATACTTTTTAAAAGAGTATTTTTTTGGACACTTGATTGCATGTTAATTAGGTAACTTCATTCTAGAGTGTCTTCATTACACATTTTACATGCGCTTACTACATCAATAACAGTAAATTATGGATAATTACAAGCAATTAAGCTAAACCCTAACCCTAACATATGTGTGTGCATGTTGTTGTTGATTACTATTACTGTAAAATAAAATACATACAAAAATTGCAATTAAACGAAAACATGCTACAGTTTAAATTCATATTTAATGCAATTATTTGAATTTTGACCAATCAGTATTTCAATATATTTGTAATGATGAAGTTGCAATTTAGCACATTTAAAATATATTAACTTTAAATGTAATATCAAATAACACACTACGGTTACAATTATTATCAAGCAATTTAACATCAGAATAAGTGCACTTCTTTAAAGCATGACAAAAGATTATTAAAACAATGATTTAAAATGTACTGTAAAGTGAAACTTAATTTGACATTAAGTGCAATTTTTAAAAGTGTATTTAAGTATGTTAAGAAACATAGCCATGAAAGTGTCCCTATAAAAACTCTTACATGGCCTTTTATTTCATGAATATCACATTATCTGCAAGTACAGTTTTTTAAGAATATACTTTTCTGATTTGAAGTACACTACAAGTGCTCATTTAATACAATTAAGCACACTTTTATCAGAAGGGAATGAATGGCGCTGGAATGATTTTAAAGCTGTAGACGATGCACCGGGTTTTGAGAGCTCTGGCTATTCTCAATCCGTCTCTCACCTCTCCTCGCGTTTCACGTGTCTCGCCAGACAGGAAGTGATGAAGATGATGCTCATGACGAGGATGATGCCTGAGCTGATGAAGGACACCAGAAGAGCTAAACGAAAGCCATCATCCTCGAACCGAGACAGAGCTGCACAAACACAGAGAGCAAACACACAGTGAGAGCATGACAGTAACAGATGCTTAACTGTAATTCACTGATTAAAGTCTTGGTGAACAGAGGAGACTGCTTTCCAATTTTAACATGTTTTCCATGACTGAGGGAACTTCCAAGAGACACTCGGAGCAGTTCTGAATCCTAATCAAGTTATCACCTAGTAAACTGTGCTTAAATCACAAGCCCTTTTCAAATCCTAATGCAAATATATTATTGTATTCTTTACATTATTATAAAATAAGAATAGTTTCATATTTTTGTCCAACAATCTGTATGAATGATTCTTTAACAAATGTAATGTCAAGATATTGGCCTGTCTCTACTGATAAAGTCAAGATGCTGTTTTGAATTGTTCACAAATGTGTGTTCACAACTCTAATGCATCTCATATGTGACCCTGCAGCACAAAAGCAGTCTTAAGTCGCTGGGGTATATTTGTAGCAATAGCTAACAATACATTGTATGGGTCAAAATGATCTATTTTTCTTTTATGCCAAAAATCTCTCAGCCAAATATTGTTCTATCCTAACAAATCAATGGAAAGTGTATTTATTCAGCTTTCATGTGATGTATAAATCTCAATTTAGAAAAATTGACCCTTATGACTGGTTTTGTCGTGAGCCCAGAACAATGCTGCCATGCTCAGACTGAATTTAAAGAAACAGGTCACCCAAAAATGAATGCTGACTCAATGACTCACCCCAGTGAATGGGTGCCGTCAGAATGAGAGTCCAAACAGCTGATAAAAACATCACAATAATCAAATCAAATAATCCATCAAATAACGACCATCATCAAGACATTTTTAACTTAAAACCATTGCTTTTAGTTACAATACGAGTCCATAATTCCACATTTATGAGTGTGTCAGGCTTACGTTTACACTCCGGTGTCCCGCCGCTCCAGTGTGTCTTATTGCTGCTCCACACACAGGACATCTGACTGCCGCTGACCGTGCGGTGTCTGGATGGGCATCAAATAATCCATCAAATAACGACCATCATCAAGACATTTTTAACTTAAAACCATTGCTTTTAGTTACAATACGAGTCCATAATTCATAATAATGCTTCCTCCAGTGAAAAAGTGTTCTGGTGTGAATCAGGAGAGAAATCTGCACAGTGATGTTTTTATCAGCTGTTTGGACTCTCATTCTGATGGCACCCATTCACTGCAGAGCATCCACTTCTGAGACACTGATGCAATGCTACATTTCTACAAATCTGATGAAGAAACAAGCTCATCTCTATCTCGGATGGCCTGAGGCTGAAGACATTTTCAGCTAATTTTCATTTTTGGGTGAATTGTTCCTTTAATTCATCATCAAGAACAAGAGATTAGAAAAGTAGAAAGTAGGAAGATACAGATAACCAAAAGCTAAACCAAAGTAAAAGTATCCAAAATGCCATAGATTGGTTTATGTGAGCAGAATCTCAGATTGCTCTGCATTCTACACCCATTTTTCGGCTGTTCCTCCTGCACTGTTGTTTTTGTGCACTAGTGTTCTGCTAGTGAGAAGTGAAACTGTAAAGCAGGTGTGTGCCGTACTGTAAAAGCCTGATTAACAAATAACATGGTCATGAACCAGTTTTAATGACACAAGATTTCTGGTCCAAATGTATATATATATAGTGGAGACTGGGGCCACCTCAAATTCTGCATTTTGTCACACTTTTTATTCTAGTGAATATTTCTTAAGATAGGTTCATTACAGACTATTTTGGAATAGACATAAAGATAATGATATAGACTCAGGGTTCGACCCCCTACCTTAACATTCAAGCATGCAGCTATGAATATTTCTTGCCTTAAACTCACTCAAGCTTGACGGATAACTGGTTCAATAAACAAATTAAGATCGCATCTGTTTGTCAGTAGATTTCCTGTGTCGAGTTTTGCTGCCTCACGTCACACATGACTGCGTTTTCCACCGTGTAGAGATAAGTGTAATGTTCTGTAGACTATCAAATTTTAACTGAAAATGTGCAGAGAACATAATATTGAAGATTTTTAGGAGGGGCTCAGAGGGGCAGTGTGTTTATCAGCAACGCCTGAAACACAAAAATATTTAAAAAATATAATAAATAATAAACTGTACCACTGTTTTAAACCATGGAAACTGTAATTAATATAGTATATAAAATTACAGCATTTACCTAGAAACACATCACCTGTTTATTTTAACTGAAGCTCATTTTTAGAGCAGCCTACATGATTTAAAGTTTGCTCCATTCCTCACGCTTGGAATAGGCCTTTAGCTTCATACTTTTATGAACTTGTGTGTGTGTGTGTGTGTGTGTGTACCTGGTATTTATCACGTTTGTGTGTGTGTGTGTGTGTGTGTGTGGATAAGAGCAGCATGAAAACGTCTACATAAGTGTTCCACTAAAAAAAAAAACAGCGTACAGGTTTTTAAAGTGACATGGGTCAACCTCAAGTCGAAATAAAAGAAAACACAAGATGAAGAAAGAAACAGGAAGCCGCTCGAAGCGCATAGCGTGTGTGTTTCCGATCAGAGAACCGCTGTCATTTGCACAAGACGCGTTTCCTGCTCTCATATCATCCTGTCTGCTGTTAATACACACAATAAACCTCTCTCTCTGTCACACACACACACACACACACACTTCATTAAAACCGCATCTAAAGAGAAGTTCGTTTTCTCCCCCTACACACATTGTTCAAAAATAGGTATTGTAAATACAGTACAGAATATATTTGTATATTATCTATTTACAAATTCAAACTCAATCGGTAATGTTGTTAATTACAACTGGTAGATGATTGTTAAGCGAACAATCGCTTTATTTTACGGTATCCCTGTTTCAGTGCACACTGTATTACAAATTAGTAGGCTACTAAAAATAATTAACAACTTACTTCAAATTGACTTACTATAGGTTTAGGATTAGAGTTTGTAATTATGTAATAGTTATAATTTGCTATCATTTCCATAGTAGCCTACTTGCATCATGTAAGTTAACATATGTTACATGTACGTACACTTCTTTATTGTCGTTGTTACCGTGTAGCCTAATTATACATTTAAGTAGGCCTACTGAGTAATATAATTAACTACATGTACTTACTATATGGTTAGGGTTAGGATTAGGGTTTGCCTTACGTTTACTTTCATGTAATTGTGCATAATTTATTACAATAGTAAGTACATGTAGCATGTGTAACAAGGGCACCGTAAAATAAAGTGTTACCCATTTGTGTAAGAAGAACACTAAAAGAAAGTGCCACCGAACAAACTTGTGCTATAAAGCAACTCAAAGCTCGAACCTAACAGAAACAAACACTTTTCAGAAGTCATATGTTTAAGAGTAGGGTGGTGTGGATGATACCTGTCTGGTTGTGAACGCTGCTCCAGTCCCCCATCACTGATTCTGATGCACTGATGAAAGCCATTCAAACTGTTGCACTGGTGCTTTCACTTCACTCCTCTATCGCCGAGCCGGAGGAGCTGCGCATGCGTGCTCAGTCTGGAGCGAGTATTGAGGATTTATGTTGAGGACACTCTACCGTCGCTCTGTCCTAGTGGCTTAAAGGGATAGTTCACCCAAGAATTAAAATTTGATGTTTATCTGCTTACCCCCAGGGCATCCAAGATTGTTCTGTTACTCATGCGGTGGGTTCAACTCCAGATGAGTCTGGAGCTACACATCATCAATTTAATCTGTAAAATAATAAAACAATAGGCTAAACGGCCAATATAGAAAAATCCGAAAGATTTTTAAAATTATAAATCTTTTTAAAATTACATTTATACCTCATTATATTAGTTCGGACATAATGTGATTTTTTTTAAATCTGGACAATGCCTTACTTTAAAAGAGTAGCATCAATTTGAGCACCGGCTCAAAGTTGAGAGATTTTGCTTAGGAATTGTGTTATTATCAGATTGTGATATTTTAAATTGGAAAGGATAGCCTAGGCATATTGAATTAGATTCAGATGGGACTGGTGCTTATTTCTGCATTCTGGGGTCGTTTTGAAATGGCAAATGTCTATGAAATCCATAAATTGTAGATAGCCCATTGAAGGGTTTCCTGGTTAATGCACGGCCTGCATTGGTTTCTGATGACCATTAAACAAAAGAAGAATTATCAGTCTCACGTAGTGCTGCCGAATGATTAATCGCATCCAAAATAAACGTTTTGTGTTTACATAATGTGTATGTGTATTGTGTATATTTATTATGTATATATAAATACACACACATACAGTATATGTTTTGAAAATATTTACATGCATAAAATTATATTTATATAATTTACATTTACATTTAGTCATTTAGCAGACACTTTTATCTAAAACAACTTTTAAAAAATTATTATTTATTATATATAAATATATTTAATATATAAACAACATATTTGTCTTGTATACATGTGTGAGTATTTACATATACATAATAAATATACACAGTACACACTCATATATTATGTAAACAAAAACGTTTATTTTGGATGTGATTAATCGCGTTTAATCAATGAGCCGGTGACTTGAAGAGGGAGTTAGGAGATGTCTTGCAAAAAAGCGAAGGAAAGGTAGGACAATGAAGTGAGAGTTATTAAGTGAAAGCAGAAAGAGGAAGTCCTGCAGGTGCCTGCAGAGTCGTGACAAGCTGAGAGTTTAACAGGAAGATGTGAGGGTTCTCTGACGAGGTGCGATGGAACTTCCTCTACATCCACTGGATCAGATGGCCGTGGCGTCCTCTGGTGCCACAAAAGAGAATTCATTACACATTCATTATACTGATTTTGAAGACATTTGAGTCCAAGTCTTGGGTTCAGTAATAGGACTGTTAGTAATAATAGCTAAAGCCACAGATACACATATAGTATCTGTCTACTAACTGCATGGCCTGAAAATGTACCCTAAGCTGGTTGCTGTGATGGAACATGGTTTTAACTGGTCTAAACTGGTCATTAGCTGGTCGTCCATTCAAAATTTTCCAAAAACTTGACGAGATTTTACTTATTGTTAAACTTTTTATTATAACTTTTGTTTAAAAGAATGCTTGATCACTTTTTTGAAGGAGGTCATCTTTAGAGGGCTTGGGCTCTGAACGAAGAAACCAGTCAGGTCATATATATTGAAAAAATCATTTATTAATGCGAAATAAAATGCAAATACATTTTTTAATAAATAAATAAAATGCACGATAATACAAATAAATTTGGATATTAATAAAATTCTAATAAATCAACATCATAAATTCATACAGAAAACTCAAGTCTAAAAAAAACTAAATTAACTAACTACTCATTAACAATGCACACCAATGGTGACCAACTGCACTATTCTACTTTATTCTGTTAAAACATTATATTAAAACACATACTTTGGTGCACAGTCATGATTAACAATTGCACTATTTTACTTTATTCAGTTAAAATATTAAGATACTCATGTCAGTCAGCTAGACAAACACCTACCATTGTACTCTCCAACAGACATACCAAACCACATAGATACAGTCCATACTATATCTATGTTTGCATCTATCTGCATCAAACACACACACACACACACACACACACACACACACACAGGTTTGTTTTTGTGAAAAGTGGGGACATCCCATAGGCGTAATGGTTTTTATACTGTACAGACCGTATATTCTATTGTAGAACACACACACACACACACACTCACACACACTCTCTCACACACACACACACACACACACATGTCTGGTTTGCTATCCTTGTGGGGACTCTCCATAGGCGTAATGGTTTTTATACTGTACAGACCGTATATTCTATTGCCCTACACCAACCCTACCCCTAAACCTACCCCTTACAGGAAACTTTCTGCATTTTTAGATTTTCAGTACACTCCATTCTGTGTGATTTATAAGTTTGTTTCCTCATGGGGACCTAAAAAATGTCCCTACAAGGTCAAAATTTACTGGTATTACTATCCTTGTGGGGACATTTGTACCCATAACGTGATA